ATGTAGAAATCCTGGCAGTCCCAACAACTAGCCTTATACACAACTTTTGACAGTTGGGAACGGTTGATCCTATCTTTGTAGGGAAATAAAGACTTAATGTGATGAGCGCTTTGGAAAATAACCCTAAGATTAATACAGCCATAAAACTTATTAATACAGGTCTTCAGTTGTTTGGAAACAATTTTGCTTTGTACCCCTAAATAAGGTAGAACTAATATTATTTCCTTTTTAGGGACTGTGGTGGTTTGATTCTTTGGTTTGCGTTGCTGCCTGTTCAGAACATCATTAATGTTGTAATTGATAACACCCGCAGGGTATCCATTTTGTAACAACAACTTCCTCAGTTCATTCAAACAAGAGTGCAAAAGAGAAGGTGACGAACAGATGCGGAAACAACGAAGAGCCGTGAGAGTTCGGATGAGGTTTACTTTGTATTTCCTAGGGGCGCGTTGACAAGTACAAGACAAAGTTTGACAGAGCTCGAGAAACGTAACTTTTATGAAGAAAGCCAAACTCTCGTCGAAAAAGCCGCTAAGAACCTAGTGTCCATATGGTTCCTAATTTTTTCTAACGTACGTTTTACTCTCTTACTAAAGCCATACGGTTGTTCTGAAATTCAACACTAAATGTAAACCAAGTCCGCCAAGCGCACGTGGTAGAATGACTTGGAACCCAAATTTTTGGTTGAAATATTACCTTAGAAGGTAGAATGCAAAGAAATTGATACTAACCGTTGGCAGAGATGGGTGTCAACCGACTTCTCTTCCCCAAACGTCGACGCCATTTCTTCTTCGAAATAGGAATTCGCTTCTCGTGTAGAAGGGAACAGTACACATCTTAATCCGACGGCATACATCTCAAAATGACAAATGAACACCTCAGATTAGCAATAGTCATTATGAACATGCAAAATAACATTAGACCAATCAGTTACCAGGCACGTCACGAATTTTTAATGACAACGCCCTTTGCACGCTTTCTTCTGCTACAACTTTACATTTCCGTTGTTTACATGGAGCCCACTTGAACTTGTATGAACTGAACAAACAAAAAGGTCATTTTTCAAATGTAATTAAGCTTTTTTTTACAGTTCTTGTATGACTACCTCTCCGGCTTATTTTGAAAAGGAATTTGGTAACGTTCATTTTATCATTCAAAGATACAAAAACTGATTAGTCATTTTAATTTTTTGTCCCACGATCCACTCACCCTCATGCCACACGAAAACCGCCGTTCAGGAAAAGTGGCCAAAAAGCACGTTTGTCTAAGTTTGTAACAGTCAGAGCCTCAACGAAAAATCCTTGTTTTAAATTTAGCCATTGGCAGTTGTGTTTCGTTTTGGCGGGAAATGCGAGAAGCGACCACGCAACAATGTCAGTCCTTGTGTAACTAGCGCCAGTCCCAGGCGTAGAGAGTCGCGCTTGCGGAGAAACTGCGCACAATTTTGATGAGGATGAAAGGAACTCACCGGGAACCCAATGGGAAAGTGGGGGTTGCAAATAGTGGAACGCACGGAAAACGTGAGATGAAAGTTTTCATAACGGGTGACTCTTTTCTTTTAAGTCAGAATAAAAACATTAAAAATATCAAGTTTTTAGTTAGCCTGACATCTCTATAAAATTTGATTATTAAGTCTCTTGTTGCCTCCTATCTTTACAAAAAGTCGTGTTTAGGGACTGGTCAAAGAGTACAGGGGGGTGGGTCGGAGAATTTGAAAATGTAGTGGTTAGAAAACAGATGACTCAACACCTCCATTTGGCACAAAACAGAGTGACCCACCCCTAAACGAAGGTTGAAAATTACATGATCCACCCCCTATAAAACATGACATTTTTTAGTTTGTCATCTAAAAAAGTTTTCTTTTATCTAAAAATAATGTTTTCTTTTACTCTTGCAACTTTAAGTTGTGTCCATACCCTAAATCTTTCACACTCGGCCTCCAGCCTCACTACGCGAGGAACAGTGATCCATCTAGAAAAACGCTGTAGTGAGTTCTGTTACTCACACGGCCAGTAAACTACGAGTCCCAGGCCCAAGGGTGTGAGTCCTCGATCCATCAACCTGTCGCGTACCCTTAGGGACAAATGTAGACACAAGTTGGCCATTTGGTGTTCTTGAAGACCAGCATGTCGAAGAGTGCAGTATTTTGAAAATTTCAGCTCTGGAACTCTCTGGCTTATTCCGTTAGACTTCTTAGCTTTCGTACAGATTTTATAAATACATGAGATTGCCATCTCTATTGTACACCAGCCCCTTGTACTTTTTCAGCTACGGCCCAAAACATTTTCGTCGTCTAGAACTTGAAGGAGTTACCTCTGTTGTGAATTGTGTCAAATGTGTTCCAATTCCTGTTTTAAACCAGGATGACCCACCCCTCACGGGCAGCTGAAAAGAACGACCCACCTCTCACCGCAAAGGTCTCAAAAACTGATGACCCACCCCATCTCCACTCCCACCGATCCCCCAATGTTTTTAGACCAATCCCTTATTAATAAGGTTTGCTCTGGTTTGCACAAGCTGATCCACTCTTTAAAAAGTCTTACCATATTGATTAACAACTTAGAAAATGAGCCTGGTAAGACGGAGATGCTGGAAGGGATTTTTAGTATTTCTTTAGTAACGCAACAACGTAACGCAACGCAACGCAACGCAAGTTGTAATGTGAGTTGGGTATGTTTTTCTAGAAGAAGTTATCCTACCTAATAAAAGCATATTATAAACATTGCCTTTGACACTGGTGTGAACTAGGGGACTAACTATAAGGCAGGTCTAGAACAAGGTATTTATTTAAGGGTCAGATCTTAAATGGGTATAAAATTTTTGATCAGGTCAAATAGGGTAGGGGAAATCACATGTTTGAGTCTTAAATAGGGCAAGGGTTTGGGAATCAGGCGACACACCGCACCAATTTTACTGGGAGTAACCCCCCTGGGGGGGGGGGTCACTTTCAGTACTATTGACCAATAAGAAATGGATATTTCTACTGGATATTTCTACTGGAAACAAATGAAGACAAGTAGGTAAACAGTAGGTAAAATCTGTATACCAGCTAAGTGGCCCATCAGGCCAGTGCTTATCACGGTTTCAGTGGCATGAAGTGACTGGGAGTAATTCTACTCTCCCCTGGATGGGATGTTAGGCCATCGCAGGGTTATCCTCCAGCATTAAGTTTGCCAGTACCCATTTATACACCTGGGTGGAGAGAGGCACTGTGAGGGGAAAGTGTCTTGCCCAAGAACACAACCCAATGTCCCCGGCCAGCGATTGAACCCAGACCACACAATCTGGAGCCAATCGCACTAACCATGAGACCACTGCGCCTCCACAGAGACCAGCAGGGAGGGCTTTTTTCACATTAGAACTCTTCCTACTTTAAGAAATGCATGGAGACTTGAAAGGATCTTTTGTTCCAAATTGTACTATGTAATAATTTTATTTTTGTTAAAATAAGAAAGAAAAACCTATTTAATTTTATTACCAGCAAATTTCATACATGCACTGTACAAAATACAAAAGCATCTGAATAATTTTTTCACTAATTAATACTGAAATGTGCAAGAAATATCTATATATATATTAGCACTCCTAACTACAATGTGTATCATCTGCGAGTCCGTGGATCCCGACTGGTGTTTATGACATTACGCACACTTAGATCACTGTTATGATGTCCATTATTACCATTGGATGGAGCCAGCATAAAACTGCTAACATTTCCATTCCCATTGCCGGCACCATTGTTGCCCCGCAATTTTAACCTTGGGTCGCGTGATGCATCCACTTTGGCCAGCGCACCTCCCTGGGAGCTCGAAACATCATGTCTGTTGTAGGGGTGGAATCTGTGAGCTCCTGAATTTGACCCCACTGCTGAATGGTGATTGTTTGGAGGGGGCGTTATAGGCAAGTGTTCCGTATTATGGTTTTGATTCCGCAGAGGCATGGAAGATGTTGATGTCGCAGTCGTGGTTGGAGTGTTGGGCGAGTTTTTCCCTTGATCGCCTTGCTGAAGATTCTGAAAAACATGTAAAAAGCCTAGCAATGAAGGGCTTGGTTCAAGATATGCGATTATTTCCCCCAAGAGGGGACTCCCAAATGAATAGGTTGGGGATGCTTGTCAGAACATTTGAATTAAACCCCTAAAGGAGACCGATCTGGGTGTGGCTCGAGCTTTATTTGACCCCTCACAGATACCACTTGTAGAGAGCGGTGGAAATTGAACCTAAAATGTAAAATGTACCAGACAGGGACACTAGGGCAAACAATTTAAAGGTAAGGTAAAGTAAAGTCTGAATACGAGCCAAGTGGCCCATCAAGCCAGAGCTTATCCTGGTTTCTGTTGCATGAAGTGACTGGGAGTATTTCTACTCCCCCTTGGATGGGATGCTAGTTCATTGCAGGGTTATCCCCAAGTTCACTGGTACCCATTTATACACCTGGGTGGAGAGAGGCACTATGAGAGTAAAGTGTCTTGCTCAAGAACACAACACAATGTCCCCAGGTAGGGCTTGAACCTAGACCACTTGATCTGGAGACAAGTGCACTAACCATGAGGCCACCATGCCTTCCTTAGAACAGAAGTATATAAAACTGACCAATGTTAAACGTTTTAACTGTAACTTAAATTCAAACTAGAATATACAAATGTCTTCTGTTGAAGTTAAAGCTCCCTTGTAAAGTTAACTGAAAAATAAAGAGCTCTACAGAAACTTATGGGAATGCATAACAAAGAGACATATGTACACATAATTATGGCCATATGTGTATACACAAAATACATGCATATAAACTAGGTATGCGTAGTTCGCTTATATTTGAGATGCGAGGTAAGTTCAACTCATAGTTTGTATGAGCCTGAGACACCGAGATCTGCCTTGGAGCCATTCTCATTTCAACTGGGAATCTTTTGTGAAAATGCCATGGTAGCAAAACTGATTTCCCTGTCCTCAAACAGCTCAAGCACATTAGTAATGCATGTATGTTGCTCATAAAATGTAAAATAAAAGCTTTCAGTGATATATCCTCTCTCAGCATTTACCAGAAACATTTGGCTAGATCTTACACTCATACTAGGTTACTGCTGAGCTTGGGTGAATATTCCTAGAAAAATTGGGTGGAGGTGTGCGGCCTGCTTTTTATAACCCTCACCCTAATTACATTTCACCACCCTATTTATGACCTGACGAAAAATTTGATACCCTATTTTCAGACCTGCCTTATAATATTAGTTCCCTAGTTCAGAACTATGATGAAGGCATTGTGAAGGGCTTTTGTTAATAGCCTTATCGATAATGACGAGAGAGTTAGTGTGCCAGGTTCTTCTAAAATGAATAACCATTTCAAGACTTAAGTGCAAAAAACGATACCCTATTTGACACCAAAATGGCCAAAATTGATACCCTATTTCTGACCAAAATGGCTAAAAAACCATCCCCTTTGGGACCTCACATACCTTAAAATCTCACATTAAAGCCCTGGGCTTATGTACCTTCATAAGGGGTTTTGGGTGGGCTTACAAATGGGGGGTTTATATCCAGAGAGGCATATAAGTGGAATATAAACAATGTTTCGGAACGATGAGATAAAACATATCTGAGAAACAAATTAATGCTAACATACCATTACATTAAGACCTATTACCTTTATTACCCTATTGCCGTATTAACCTATTATTACCCTATTAGCCTATAACTTTGGATTAAAAATTTTGACCTTTGTAAAGACACGCAAAAGGAACGCACTTATACATCAGATGGGCTTATATCCGGCTTATATCCAAAATAGTATATCTGTTAGCAAATAGAAGGGCTTATATTCAGGGGGGCTTATAACTAGGTGGGCTTTTAAGTGGGATTTTATGGTTCCCATATAGCCCGTATAAGGGAGTAGTTGATCCCTACTCCCTACCCTGCGGAGGGAAGTTAAAATTGTGCACGCACCTCACATTTCACAATTTATAATATCACTTCATCACGACCACTACAATCAATTGATTGTTCAGAGTACCTGTTTATACTGCTGAAGAAATTCTGCATGAGGATCACTCATGTTTGGCTGCTCACAAAACACCATGCAGAAACTAAAAACAAACAGAATTATTATGACAATGCTTTCATTTCTTCAAAAGGATTTTTGTGCCCTTTTTTCTGAAGGGGAATAGAAGACAACATACAAGTTTATTGTGCAAATACACTTCGTTATAATCGGTTTTTTTTTTTATATGTTTCAATTATATTAATGCTTGAAACATTTTATGTGCAGACAGTAGACCTTCTCACAATTTCTGTACCCTCTTGCTTGGAGGGCAAACACGGCAGACCTTACAGAATAAACAAACATTGTCTATATGATACCCTTCATGCTAATTCCTGGCAAACCCCTATTAAGCGGCCACCTCCCATTTCCCCAAGGGTGGCCATGTAATAGGGGTTCAACTGTAACTTAGTCTCCTGAACTGTTATCTCTTATGCAAACCTGCAGAGAAACCTGCTATTCTTTACTTTCAATTAACCAGAGGATCAAGTCATTAATGATACACTTACTCGCCAACCTTCTCCAAGTACCCTGCCCTGCCTGTGTACAAGGTTAAGCTTCCTTTCCATAATGAAGAATACCTAAGGGAAAGTTAAGCAATAAGTTATCTCTGCCCCATGGATTGATACATGTAAATGTATGTTATTTGCCAACCCTAAGCTGGTAAATAACTATTTTATTTTTTCTTCTAAAACTACTTTTTTAATGAGGGCACTCTTATATTTTTATGTTGACCTGTTCAACTTCCACACATATCACACCCATGTTACAAAGACTGTGGTCAGAGAAAGGAAAATCCGGACTGTGCTAAGAACCATCAGCACTCTCTCAATGAGTTAATTGGCTAAAGATAAATAGTTGCACAAAACTAGAAGCATTTCTTTAGTACTTTAGCTTCTTACACAGCTTCAAAAGATTACAAGATGTTCATTTGATAATATTCACCATGCTGTACAAGGTTGTTCTTATTATTTCTAAATCTGTGGATGAAACCCTAGTGTGTGACTATTCAAATGAAAGCTGTTGAGCAGCACCTTCATGCAATACTATTTATTATGCTGTACAAGGTGGTTCTAACTTTTTAGTTTCTGGATGAAACCCTAGTATGTAACCATTCAAATGAAAGCCACTGAGCAGTACTTTCATGTGGTGCTGTTTATATGCTGCACAAGGTGGTTAGAACTGTTTTGAAAACTGTGGATGAAACACTAGTGTCACCATTCAAATAAAAGCTACTGAGCAGTACCTTCACGTAGTACTGTTTATGTGCTGTACAAGGTGGTTAGAACTGTTTTAAAAACTGTAGATGAAACCTAAGTGTACGTGACCATTCAAATGAAAGCTATTGTGCAGTATGTTCATATGGCGTTGTGTGTGTGCTGTATATACAAAGTGGTTCTAACTCAGGTCTGTGGTTGACATCCTGGTCTGGGTTGTTCAAAGCCTGATTTAAGCTAACCCAGGATTAACAAGAATTATAATTTCAGTTTGTGATGTTTCAGTGGGGTTTTCTGTTTGTGTTGTTTTTCCTTCAGTTTTGAGCTTGAGTAATCTTAAACTACGCAAAACATAAGTGGTCAAAAACATCTTTTTACAATAGAAATTTTATATTTCAATTAACTGTTAATCCTGGGTTAGCGTTAATCAGCTTTCAAACAACCTAGCCCTGGTGTTTGACTAATCAAATGAAAGTTGAATGGTAATTTTACAGTGAAAAAAAAAAAAAAACCTTATACACAGAGACGACAGTGAAGAATGAAAACAATGGCATGCCTACATATAGATTTCAACAAGAAGGTTGCAGAAACCTAAAAGCCTCAAGGAAATTTTTTTTCACTCAAACGTCATACTTTTGAACTAAGAATAACTGGGTCCCAGTATGTCCGATTTGTTCTAAACTGTATCACACTGACAGCCTTCAAGCCTCAAGAATCCTTCCCTCTTACCCATCCCCCCNGGGGGGTTCATTACTTATGACCAGGGTTAGAAGGGTTGGCAAAACTCTTCCCAGCAGTAATAATTTCTTGGGCACACCAAAAAATACAAACAAACAAATAGACTAACCCCCAACAGGGTTTCTCCCCCTCTCCCCCCCCCCCCCCCCCCCCCACCAAAAAAAAGAAATAAACTTCCCCCATTTCTTTACCAGCTACAAGGAAGTAATCTTTCTATACTTTTTTGTTCACAATTTCGACCATAAACCTTGTGACATTTCTAAAACGGTTAATCATACTGGAAAAAACCTCAATTTAGTTAAGATAACAAATCACCCTCCCCTCCCCTTCAACCCCGATCTTTCCGCTACAAATTTCACTGTTCAAGACAATTGATGCTCTCTTTTGCCAATAGAGTTCGAAATTGAAAATTTACCAAAAATGGCTGTGTTTTACGGCCATTTGCATTCCGAATTAGCCTATTTTGCCGCGACAGTCGCTAGAGAACTGGAGTACCGACCCCCGGAAATTCCCTGTTCGCTAATTTATGCACAACGACGAAACTTGAAACCTCACGATTTGAGAATTGAGAAAAATATTCCGCAGTCAAAAAGATCACAACACAAGGCCAAGAATGCCTTCCTTACCCTCGAACAAACTTAATGATATCTCCTGGTTGAAGAATTTCGCCGACTTCATCCCAAACAGACACGGTAATCGAGCCTGTTTTGTCGGCTACACGGCATGCCCGTACAACATGAGCATCTTTCGTTTTGGTGGGCTTCCCTACAAGAAATAGCCGTGAATTTAGCTTCAGTTCAAACAGGGAGCGAGTCACAGGACAGGGCAGGCTTACCGACTTCCAAAACTATGAATAAACAGTGTAAGTTTTTTATGCCGGGCCGAATATCTTTGATGTCTGTGAAATGCCTCGAGTCTTCCGCCATAAAGATTGTCTCACTGCGCCACCGATCTGCGAACGAATCATCGAACGAGATTTATAAAAGAAATGATCAGTGACGTCATTGGCACGTGTTTTGCTGTATTGGCAAGGACTTGCAAATAAAGAATATTGGATCGACAATCATTATTGTAGTTCTTGCAATAAAAATTCCCTAAGATTGAGTGCCCTTTCATGTCTTTAGAGAGCGTCATCATGGATTTGCTAAAAATAAGTGGAAGCACCGTCTGGTTTTGCCAAATCACTTCTTTTATTCTTTTGAAACGTGGTCTTTTTCGTTTTGATACTACATCCTATTTACCCCATCTTTCTCACGGTTACTGACCGCGCTTCAGTTGCATCAAGAAGAGCAGTTGCTGTGGAGGAGGAGGGAGATTGCAGAGGGCCAGGACTCATCCAATAAAAGAGAAAATTAACGGCACGTGATCCTTACAAAGGTTAAATATAATCTGCCAATATTTCAGGTGGATAAAATTAACCTTTTCGGGAACTGAAATATAAAAAATTACCCAAGGAAGGTTGTTTTTTTATATTGGGCCTCTGTTTTTGGATTTTCTAAACTCTGGGTGTCAGAGGGATAGGCCACGTTCGATAAATCAATATTCCAACATGGCTCCGAGGCTTTCAGGACAAACTTCTATATTTGGTCAGGGTAATGGGCTCCTGATTTGGTGGTGTTTTCTTTCTATCCAAGTCTCTTTTGGGAATTCAGAGGCAAAAGAAAGTTAAAAAAAAATAGGCCATTTCCTTGTTATCTTTTGCCTCTGCTTCAAAACGAGTCTTCCTGCAAAAATAAGTTACGTAGACTCGTTTTGATACAGAGGCAGAAGGCAACTCGAAAATTGAAATTTTGTCCTGAAAGCCTCGGAGCCATTTTAGAATATTGATATATCGAACGTGGGCTATGGGTCGGAGGAATTTCTTCTCCAAGGTCACTTTTAATGTCATAATTTACTCACTGCTTTCCCCAGGTTTCTAAATTACAAAAGTTTTATTTATACAATACCGAAAAGTTTTTTTTCACAAAAAAAGATAGTCGTAGGTAACAGTGTCGAAGTTGTATATTGCATCCTAATATTGAACCTATATTCTCCTTACTGTTTGTCACACAGTTATTTGAATGTCAGTTACGAGAATTTGGTGGTGCATCAAGACATTGCTCTGATGGCTTTCTTTATTCTCACCACCTGTCTGCTGGGTAATGCACTTATATTGTAAGGGGAAATGAATGCTGATCACCCATGATGTGGATCGCTTGACCGCTATCTTTTTCGTATTTAGAGCCCGGGACTTGTGAGAAGTTGCTGGGCAGCATGGGCATCCTCCACCCCAGGCTCTCTCTCCTTTGTACGACAAGGGAGGCAAAGGAGTGAGCCTGGGAACGGGGTTGCATAAAGAGATTCTTAAACGTCAAACAGGCTCCTGCGTTAAGGTGATGCGAAGAATCTTCGATTTTTTAGGAAAGCTCTCTCAAGACTACATGTAAAGAAAGTCCCGCGAATAATCGCGCGCATGCACTCTCGCGATGACTTGTTAGGGCGCACGCGAGGAAACTCTTCTAAAGGGGTTGATCAAAACAGGCACTTCAGCTTCAACTGAATTGTAAAGAAAGTCTGCGAATACTCGCGCGAGTACTCTTGCGACGACTCGAATTCTCGCGAGGAAACTCTTCTACAGGGCTTGATCAAAAAAAGCACTACAGCTTCAACTGAATAGGCCATATCAATACCATTCTCGTTATTGGAGAGGAACCAGCTTGTAATGGAAGCTCATGTGGGGGAATATTTTTAAAAAGAAATTAATGTCATTTGCATTTAAAAGGACACCCCGCATTAGCCTCGGTTGCAAGCTAGTTCCAGTCCAATACCGAGAATACGAACATAGCCTATTGATTATAAACGAGACGAATGAGTTCTTCACGGAATTCCGTCTTTCCTCACAACAGAGATCTGTTCCAGTTCTGTTTCACACTGTATACACTACACTATCAATGTCATTGTATTGGAATCGATTCTGCTGCGTGCTTCCGCTGAGCTCGTGTCAGCTCTGCAGTCGTCGTGTCATGTGACACTGTGACAACTTGGTCGTGGAATCTTTGGAGTAGCTCTGTAAGTTCGTCTCGTGCCTGCAGAAAAACGAACCACGTAATTAATACCTAAAATGCTTGGACGATAAAGCTTGAGTTTTAAAAAAAACACTGCGATCTCGACATCTCAGGGGAGACGTCTTGATTGAAACCAAATCATCATAATATACACCATAGAGAAATACCTGACTTAAGTAAATACGGGTTATTGACCAAGCGTGTGGTCAAGATGGCTGGATATTGGCCAAGATCTTCTTTGCATGTTTATGGACCGAGACGGAGTGGAGGTCCTTAAACACGCAAAAAAAAAAAGAATGAAGATAAATCCAGCCATCTTGACAGAAAAAAACTTGGTCAATAAAGGAATCATTCAATGGAGAAAAGAACACTATTTTGTTGCCGGACACAGCAGGTAATCCCAAACCGGCAAGTTGACGCCATCTTGCCCGCTCGGGTAGCCAATCATAGCGCAGGATGCGGTTCATCTTGTTCATTCACGGAGCTAGCCATATGATAAGGAGAGTTCTTCGCTACCTTCATCGAGGAGTAAAAAGGCTCTATGAAAGCTCGTGGTAAAACTGAAGACGGCCTACCTTAGCTAGCTCCGAGTCAGTTTGGACATCTTTTAACAACACCAACAGTTGATCCAGAGACGCGTATGGGAGCCACACACTGGGACTGGTGGCGTGCAGAGCATTCTGAGAGTCAAATAATAGACTGTCAGTACCGCACGAATAAATGAAAGAAATCACACATTTTTCCCCAAGAAAGGCTGAAAATTAGAGTATGAATCACCTTGAGTCCGAAGTATTCCTTGCCATTTCCTAACACTGCTTCGATGTATTCCAAAGCCAACATCACGGCTTCTAAGAGTAGGTCGTAGTTGATGTACAAGCGAAGTAGTTCAGAAGCATTAACCCGCTGAAAAAGAAGCATTAGAGAAAGTAATTCCAACTTAAAACCGTTAAACCTGACCCGTTTCTTCTCCCTATTTTAAAGTACAAGAAAGGGAGAGCGGTTTCAGAAAACAAGTCTCAATGAATTTGCGTCAACTTTGTGACTATCAGCTCACGAGAGCTGATAGTCCGTGTATGCCTCCTCACCTTATAATCATTCACCAGCCACGTGGGTAGAGCCGCTCCAGCTGACAGCAGTTTACTGGCGACACATCGGTAATACACGTGTCCATCACGTGAGCCTAGTCTGTCGAGGTACAACTTCAACAGCTGCCATGCCTGGTCTGCCACGCTGAAAACATCAAAAGTGTATGCAACATCAAAACTGTATTCTTAGAGATGGTGAAGAAATAAAGTTTATATTTTAATAAAATAAAGTGTTATAGCTCAATAGCTATAGACACAATCAAATACAAGAATGTCTCATCTAGTTAACGGGGACTAAAATTAACCGGGATTGCAAGACATCAGACCGAGAGATCTAGTGACCAGTCAGCGCGGTACCTTTTATATCCGGAGACCTGTGCCTCGCCAAGATCATTAGATAGGATCCAGTCCCACGCGTCCTCCTCATCTCTTCTGCGATAAACAAAGAAACTTTTTAAAGCTAACGTTTAATGAATAGCAGCTTGTTTTTCCCTAAGTATATCCGACAAGTTTCACAGAGCGTTGTTACTAACGAATTATTCGTCTCCCCACGCATATGTTTGGAGGACTTGGTGTTTCTTTCATGCTTCTATCTATTATCTCGTTTTTAACCACGCCTGCGCGGGAGACTCGATCATTTCTAAACACCTCCGGGTTGCTGTTGTTGTTGTTGATGTTTTAATATAAAGCGCGTGTGAGTGTGTAATTTATGAAACACCCACGCTTTTCTATTTTCTGTGGCATAAGCTGAACTAACTGTCTTGACTTTTTTTCTATTCAACCAAAATTGGAAAGAATATTTTTTTTTCCGGAAAAGTGGTCATTCTCGCGACGTTGAAAGGAAATTTTTGTCCAGAATTTCGAAAACAAATTTTTCGGAAATTTGGGGTTGAGCTGTTCGCGGTTAATTTCTTTACCATTCGCTCCCTTTCCTACATTTCGGAAATGTTTGGTGGGATAGAACACGCCCCTTGAAAGCATCTGAATTCATACCTTGTTAAGCCAGTTCCTTGGTACGATAATTTGACGCACCTGCAACAAACAGAACGTTTGATATCAGCAAGTAATATGTCAGAAGAGATGGGAAAAAAGTCTTTACGAATTTAAGCGACATTATCCGTAGATAGGATGTGTTTAACTTTAAATGCTTTAAATTTTCAAAACTTTGATGTGGCTTTTTACCATTTATACAAATCTTGCCAAACAAAAAACTTAACTTTCTAAACAACAAAAAAGGAGGCCACCAAGTTCGTTTTTGAGCTATAAGCAACAAGCATTGAGCCAAAATTCAGGGCGTTTTACAGGTTATACTGTTGCTATGGCAACCTATTATGTAAAACAGAGGGCAATAACTAGTTCACTATTACTGACTGACTGCCTGCCCCCTTTGACTTTGTAGTTATTTCCGGAAGCCAGCCCGCACCCCCCATCTCTTTATTAATTAAGTGTAAATATCGGTATGTGGACTGAATGGGAGAAATAAAGCTTGTTGTTATCAGTACTGATTGAGCATTCGATTGACAGACAAAATAACCTGACTAAGTTGAAGATAATTTTTATTTCATTGTCTCAAAACTTAGCACAATCGTCAATTTTAGCATGCTTTATTACTGTTGTTTGCTCTCCTTGAGGTTGTAATAACTTGAAGATCGGCGGGCATCATTAGCAGGGTGCTTGATGAATAATAGAGGAAATGAAAGGTTGCATTGAATAATAGAAGGTAATTTCCATCTTGAAAAGTCTCCCAAAAATCAACCGCAGTTTAATCAAACGCTATTGGGTTATATTCACAATGAAACACAAACCGGTGCATAACTAAACTGTGTTGCTATCATAGTACAGGCGTCTTCAGTATTTGACCAGTTTTCTGACATCAGGCTTTTCGCCGGAACGAAAAGAACATACTTTTGACAACATTTAAGCTTAAATCAAGAATTTACCACTGACGCTACGAATTCATAATCAGTTTCGATAATGAACAATATCGACCTACACGACAACAGCTCGGGAGAAAATCATTCATACAATGAAGACAACTCTACTCGAGAAGCTGTCACCATCATAAACTGTATTCTTAACGCTCCACTGATGCTCATATCCATTCTAGGCAACGCTTTGGTATTGGCCGCCATAATAAGAACGCCTTCCATTCGCTCTACGCCGCACATGATTATGCTATGCAGTCTCGCTGTTTCAGATCTCCTTGTTGGTCTCATTGCTCAACCGATTTATATCGCTCAACAACTTACGAAAGACCGTTACGTTAATTACGTTTGGAAGATTATAGGACCTTTCTTATGTGGAGTTTCTCTATTGACAATAACAGCCATCACTGTGGATCGATTTCTGGCTCTTCACTATCACATGAGATATGCTACTTTAGTGACAGAATCCCGTGTTAAATATCTTTTAATAATCATATGGTCGATTAGTTTACTTGTACCATTTTTTTATTTTTGGAAAATAAGTGTACAAATCTTTCTTATAGGCGTTTTTATAGTCATTTGTCTTATAATTTCCACATTTTCTTACATCAGAATTTATCGCATTGTTCGTCGGCATCAGCTACACATTAACGCTCAACAACAGGCAGTGGAACTTTCTGACGCTGAAAACAACTTAAACATAACGCGATTGAAAAGAAGTGCAATGAACACTTTTGTCTTGTACATAGTTTTAATTATTTGTTATTTTCCGGTGTATATAGTTTCGTCTGTCAGTAAGGACTGGAAGATAGGATGGAAATTTTCTTCTACCCTAGTGTTCAGCAACTCTTGTATCAATCCATTTTTGTATTGCTGGCGTCTTCGTGAACTCCGTGCGGCAATTGTAAAAACAGCAAAGCAGGTATTATGTCAACAAACGGAAGTAAACTAGTAATCATTTTTTGAACGAAATTAAATATTAACACAATGCAAAGAGAGAGACTTCGTCAAGTTAGATCGAGGTGCACTGAAATTTTCCTCAGCGTATTGAAATATTGAGAGAAGTTGCAGATCAGATTCCTAAAGAAGATCACCTAGGATATAAAACGTTGTTTTCAATTTTATTTTCATTGATATTTCGTATGTCATGAATTTTAAGTGAGACCCAAATAGAAGAAGCCCGCCTCTATACAACTTCCAAATGCATCTTCAAGCGATGTTTACTCTGTAGGAGTTAGAGCTAAGTAGATTTTATACTGTTGTCCAAACAATCAGCACAAACTTCATTTTTTCTTTGTTTAAAACTAATCTTTTTCTTTACTTTCCCGGTATGAGCTAGTATTGTCTCGTAAGTGTTTTTCAATGCGTCAAAAAATTGCTTGATGAACAAGGGCTGAGAAGAAATGAAAAACTG